AAGTTTCTCATTATAATGACTTAGAGAAGCTTTTTTTCTTCTTATATCGCGATTAACTCTACAGCCCTGATTTAAAGTGTACATTTGGGTTGTGTTGGGTTTTTATTTCCGGGAACCAGAAACCAAGACGGGAACCGGAGCCGCTGGTCTGGTGAGGGTGAGATGAAATCTCAAGGGTAAAACTGAGGAAACTAAAACAGTAGGAAGGGCAATTACATCATAACAGAGTTTGTTGCCAGCTCTATTGAAGCCTGTCGGCGCTGAGGGCTAAACTGACCCAAATCTGTAGACAAACAGCGTTATAATAAAGTACTGTCGTGCTCCAGAGATTCCCTGGCCTATAAATCTTGTTAAAATTGTTTTAATCAAGATTTAATCTGTGAAATGTATGATGCAAGAATGAAACTAATCATGAATCATAAGGCAAAGTCTGTCAAAATAATCACAACATGATGTTTTTGCCGTATAGTGCAGCTCTAGTATTGACATCCTGATGATGACATTTGTTTTGGGGGTTTCTGTACCAAACAAACATGTTTTTCTTAAATCTGGAGACTTGTAGGCCAGGGAATCTTTATTAGCACTTCATTATGATGCTGATTGGTCACATATTTTAACTGTAACGATTAACTGTAATCAGTAGATCCAATGTTGTTAGTCGTAGTTTGGTTTCTGCTCTTTTATGGACCAAAATAGGTGAAAAACTCTAGTTTCTGACCTATAATGTCTGCTGGGGATCAACACAGTGAAGCTCAACAGTAGAAAAAAAATTTAAAAACCTGCTGCTTTGTGCTAATTTTGACCTTTTTCTCTCCTCATCCTCTCAGATCCCCGCCCCCCCCAGTCCAGCTCCAGTGCTCCCAGTGTCAGACATGCGTCCTCTCCCAGCAGCTTCCTCTGAGACGGAGATGAGCCGAGGCAGCGCCGCCACGTCCTCGACCACCTCCACCTCATAAGAGCTCACGTCAGCCAAGCGTCACTGTGATCGTCAATATTTGCATCCAAACATGGCCTCAGTTCCTCCCGGGATCCGCCTGCTGGTGTCCTTCGACAGGGACCAGTGGTGAGTCTGAATGTTTGTTTGTTTAATCGTTGGTATGAGTTTTAATTTTTAAAGGACAGGAAACACTACATTCTTTGGAGTGCTTTGAGCTGAGCGAACACGCCCTGTCGCACTGGAAGTTCTGCACTTAGCTCACCGATGAAGGCTTAAGCCACAATATTGCTCACCACATAATAATAATGGTGTAATATCAGGGAAGTGATGTCTTCATGTAACACACAGATGTACAACGAAATGAAAGTTTGCTGTTCCTTCATTCAAGATAAAGATAATTACATTTCTATGATAAAAATATAAAATAAAGCAATAAATACACATTATACAGACATGTATACACCCAGGAGATAATTCTACATTCTTGTATTTGTGTGAATGTAAACAGTAACAAGATAATGATGATAATGTGGTTTAATTTTCACATAATAATAATAATAATAATCTTTATTTATTGAGCACAAGTTACAAAAAAAGTCCACTGAAGGCAGCAAATTAAAATAATTAAAATAAAGTCATTACATTTTATTACACAATAAACAGAACAAACCATCCTGCTTATGGAAACACTCACCAGAGCACCAAATGTGGATTAATCCGCCGCTGAAAATAGTCCCAAACAAATGCTCTTCTGTTTAATTAACATTTATTTCTTAATTTGATTCAGTTATGCTCATCTCGAACGAGCCTAATGTTTGTTGTTGTTTTAGAAACGTGGCGGACTCCGCCAGAAGAGGACCCGCTCTTTTTGTAGATAAAAATGTCTCATTTTACCGAAAACACAAGTTCCTGCAAATATTTCACAATAAAAGCCTTGTTAAACAATCGCTAGAGGATTTTTAATTTAAAATGGATGCAGAACACATAATAACAAACATGTAATACACAACGATTCTTATTGTCAGGTGATTATACACGTAATAAAATCATACATATTACTGTTATATTACATTTCTGACAATAGATCCTCTTAAATGTCACTTTTATGGATATTTTTAACCAGTCTTTTAATATTTTAATAAAAGCAGCATTTTGGACGAGAAGTGGAATCACAAGTGAAAAGACGTCTCAGCTGTCACACAGTTAACAACCCTGTTATTACTGGGATTTGTCTGAACGAGCTGGGAATTCTCCTGGTATGTTTTATTATTCAGCCTCAGTCTGTTAGAGCGAGTTACATCGAGAGATAAAAGACCAAAACCTGGTGCTGTTTCTAAAGCAAGCAGATATTCTCAGTCGCTTCATACAACCTGTTAATCAAACATTAAAAAACCTGCTCAGCTTGTAGCCAGAGGGTGAATTTCAGCTCCCCGAGTGTGCCACAAAGCTCCACTATATGTAACGCTCTCCCGGAGCATATACATTATCCATTAAAGACATGATAGCTTGTGTCAAAGAGCAGAGCACTCGGGACACGCCGGAGATGGTGAATAGCGGCTTTATGTGCAGGATGCTTCTGTGAATTAAGAGCACTCGCTTGGGAAACCATCCGTGTACCGCGAGATACGAGCTGGGCTCAGATTTCTTCTCCTTCAGATTTTTTTTACTGTATTTCATCCAGAAGCTTCTTGTTCCTCCAGCATCTGCTCATTGGTTCAGAAGGTTTTTCCTCCTGATGCTGTAGTAGTATGTGTAGTTTCACGTTTCTCTCCAGTTTGACTCTTTCTTTCTTTCAGTTTCAGTCAAGTTAAATTTCCTGTTTTTCCACTTTATTTTCAATTCATGCTGCTGTGTGTGTGTCTGTGTATATAAAGGAAATGTATTTATTTAATCATTCGTTAGGAAGACTCGTGTATGTTAAGCTGTAAGATGTTCCTTTATTGATCAATTAAAATTCACAGCAGTGCAGGGAAATGTAGTGCAAACATAGCGGACTCCGTGTAGATAAAAACTTATCATTTTAACAAAAACACAAACAAGTTTTCCAACTCACGTTCCTGCAAATATTTCACAATAAAAGCCTTTTAATTTGAAATGGATGCAGAACGCATAATAACAACAAAGTTATCGTAACTTGTTTACAGTTTCATTCTGCAGTGTCACTTTAGTATGTTTTCTTAAAATATATGTTGAGACAAAAAAGACCAACGAAAAGAGGAACACAGCACAAATACCACTGTTATAATCAAATTAAACACAATCTTTATTTCCTTAAAATACTAATAAAAAACCTTTTTCAGGATCCCAAAATCTCCATTTTCCAAACTAGCAAAATTAACTTTTTTGCCTTTTACGATCAAAACAGCCATTTTCCATATTTATTGACAAAAGATAATGAAGTAGTTGCTCCAGGAACGGCTAGGAGTTCGTCTCTGCTTCCCAAAAACCTCTGAGAAACAGTAATCAATTATGTTTTGGGGAGGAATTTGTATTGATCAGACTAAAAATCGAGTCAGGCGTGGAATCAATACTAATTTTTTCTTCATATCTTTTGTACTTTTTATGCCAGTATGGATGTAAAATAGGTCTTAAATTGCATTCATAATGGTCTTATACAGTCTTATATTGGACGTGTTGAAGCCTGCAGGAGCCCTGATGTGTCCCAGAGCCAGGGGAGGAGGCGCAGGGAGGCCGGTAGTCTTGCGTCACAGTGCTGCTAACTAACCTGGTTTTATTGCCGTAGAGATCAAAGAGCAGTGAACACAGCGGCGACCTCATGGCAACGTATTGTGAAACTATATGAACGTTACAGTGGACCGACGTCTTTCTGTGTTTATACAAATGCATGTTTGACTGGAAGTTTGTGCTATTTTTATTTGTAAGGTTTCTACCGTCCCACAGTCAGTGAAGTCATTATATCAACTCAACTTTATTCATACAGCAAATTCATACAAACATGCAGCTCAAAGTGCTTCACAGAACACATTAAAACAACACAATGAACAACCATAAATCAAATTGTGCAAAAAAATGAACACAATAAAAACAATAAAATGTAAAACATCGTAAAAAAATAAGGAAATAAAAAAAGAGAAAAAATCCACCAGGGAAACAAATAATGTAAAAAAGATTAAAGCCTAAAAACAAAGTCTGTAACATTACTCCAAACCTTTCTGTATTTTATTTGCTTTATAACAATCATACAGACTTAATAAGCTTCTTTTTTAAATAATTCATGTGTTTTCTTGTCCCTGACGGTTGGCCATTGTTCTATTAAACAATTGAATTTACTTACATTCACTTTTCTTCTTAGAAGTGAACCAAATGCGGAGATAAAGACCTACTGTGGATGTTTTTTAAGTTTTCTAGCACCCCTTAAAATCAAGAAGGCTTTAGGGACCCTCAGGTTGGGCACTGCTGCATTACGCTGTAGATTTTAGACTTTAAACTGTTTCACCACCTTCCCAAAGAATATCACGTGATGGAGCGCTAACAGACTTCAGCCCACTACTGAACACTCTTCAGTAAAGCAGCCATGAAAGAGTGTTTTTCACTTCCTGTGCAGCTTCAGCTCCCAGTGTGTCGCTGACAGCTGGGGGGTTACAGCGAAGTCTTGCCAGCTGTTGATTTTTCGTCAGCCTGCCGTCCAGGAACAGGCTCACAGCACGCCGTTCAGGTGTTGCGTAAGAGTGCGTCCTCTTCTTCAAAAGCCACTCTTTGGTCTGTCTCTAGCGTCACCGCAGAGCCTGAAGAGCCAACCTAATGTCTGATGATGAGAGGAAGATTTCTGGCTCAGCTTCGACTGCTGATGATTACCATCCAGCTCCTCATTACCGCTGAACAAACACACACACACACACACGCACACACACACATCAGGATGGCAAACAGACCTAAATTAATTTCACAACCAGACTCATGTGTTTCATATCAGCGCTGATCAAATCACTGACTGACTGAATGGAAAAGCACAAAGATGAGTGCAAACACGACAAAGAGATAAAGCAAACAGTACAATTCAAATTAAGAGCACACATTCAAATTACAGGATATCCTGTGTGTTTGAAACAGTAGAAGGGTGTAACGCTGACAAAGGATGAATGTTTAGCTTTGTCAGGAGTGCAAATAGCTCTGTCACCTTTGTTTTATACCTGCACTGCAATAACAAGCCAGATATTCTTAAATATAATCTAATTATCTTGTGTTGAGTTAAAAAAATCAATGGCCGTGGGATAAGACAATTTTTCTTAGCTACAATTTTTAAAACCTGCATAAAAATCAGCCACTTAAAGACTAAAATTGGCATTAAAACTGGAACAAATGCCATTAATCTGTTATTTAAGACTCTTAAAATAAGTATTTTGGTCCCTTTATCGAGCTGAATTTAAGAATTTGTACCTTCATCTTACAATAAGACACAATTTCTTCAAACAGCAGAATAAAAATAAGTGACTTTGTCTTAAATTAAGGAACCAAAAACAATCCTATATTTCTATTTTTCTATTTAGACAATCACATTTACATTTGTTCCTCTGTTGGGATATTATGCAAACCAGTTTTGTAACTTGTTTAATCAAGCTCAATATTTGCTGTAGCATCTTATTAAGACAAAGTATGTTCTTAGAATAACATTACTTGTATAATGCAGCTCATGTTTAAGAAAATTATTTTTCTTTTTAGACAAAAAATAAGACAAATTTTCCAGAAACAAGACTTCTTTACTTTCTTTTTTGCAGTGTGTGAAGGTGTTTCTGTGTCTGCAGCAAACCTCCTGACCTTTTATTGTTTCCTGCTTACTGTCTTTACTGCTTAATGTGTGACTTTGTAATTCACAGCCACACCTTTACATGGCTCATTGTGTGCCTGAACATTTCTGACGTGTGTTGTAATCGCAGTCAGCCAGATGTGGTATGTCGAATCAGTGTTGGAGTGCGTCACACTCATTCTGGCCGCTCGTTATGTAGGTTTAATATATTTGCTTATTATGTAGAGGAACCGGGTGAGGCTTAATATGTCTGTCAGTGTTACACAAACATCCCTAAATACCACCTGCTCCCTCTGCCGGCTGTGGAGTAATGTTTGTCAAGTGTGCATGTGAGCTGTGCCCCCGTCACTCCCTCAAACTCAACATGCTGGTTCGATTCGGTTCAGAGGTTCAGAGGGGGGGTTGTTCTCTGGTCCCTCAGGTCTCAGTGCTGCCCTCTTGTGTTTCCTCTCTGCAGGTACAGAGCTCTCACCTTCATCCTCACCTTCCTGCTCTACACCAGCTTCCACCTCTCCAGGAAACCCATCAGCATCGTCAAGGTAACCATACGCTCACTTTTATATTAAAAACCACGTTAAAGAGCTCACGTGCATCTGCATACATTAAAGTAAATAAGTTTTGGTAGTATTTTTCAACCTGGATCTTATTTTTCTATGTTTTTGTGGCAGAAGTGAGTACGTTTTGAATCTGGAGTGAGAGCGCTGCAGCTGCAAAACTGACTGCAACTTAATCCTTGCACTGTCAAAAGAGTTTTCTGCACCCTTCGCTCGGTCCACTGTGTTTCTCACCAAGTCTTTTTCTGAAATCTCAGGAGAGCTGAGGTGACTTGTTGCAGGAAGTCAACATAGAGTTTGTTGTGTTGAAGTAGAGACAGCGTAGCTTAACTGTTTTATTTAAGATTGTCAATGTCATGGTCGAATATTTAGCTGATTTCGACAATGTGGAAGACCTCTTGTGTTTATCTGAGCTGCAGATCAGGTACAGGAAACGTAACCAACCGAGCCTGTCAGTATTCTGGCAGTGCCCAAGCTTTATGTTATAACTCTCACTCAGAACTCGACCAAATTCAAAACTTATTGTCCCCATTTGGCACTTGAACATGAGCAGAGCAGTGACCTTCGGACACACCCAGAGTTTCCCAGTCGGTCTCAAGCAGTTCAGATTTCCATTGAAAATAAAAAGCTGTTTGTGTGAACTTACTGGTTCTAAGATCTGTATCACACAGACAACACCAGTAAACCTTAATAAGGAACAGTGTGTTCAATGTGTTGGCAGTGAGCAGTCTGATTATTATAAAACACATTGCAGAGGCTGTTTAGTGCAAGGGAATCAGTGGAAACCTTCCAAAATAAGAGTAAAAAACAGTTCAAACACAGTCTGCTACAGTCACACTTCATGGCCATAAAAAGTTTGTTTTTGTGAGATTTGTTGTGTTAATTATACGCCGTTTACACCAAAATTAGCGCCTATATGCGCCTATATTTCTGTTTTTAAAATAGCCGACTGACCCGCTGCCTGTAGACAAGTTGTTACTTTCAGTTTTATTTCCGATGTGTCCTGCGGGCAAACGGGGTTAATAAACAGTAGAAAACTACACTCACACACCCAGAGCTACCTCCACAGGGCTGTGTCAACAACCTTATTTCCTCTTTACCTCGCTGTCTTACTAAGATAAGATGTTCCTTTATTGATCCCCCGTAGGAGAAACTCAAATCAGACACAGCAGCAAAGGGGAATGTAGTGCAGAGAGTACTAGTGTTGTTGCACAGTGTTCCCATAAAAACTAATAAATATAGATAAATGTGTAGCACAGTGCAAGTGCTGGAAAATTAGCATTTCCATCGCTGCCGATGTGACCTAGGATGTCAGATGTTAATGGTTTATATTCTTAAATACTTTACAGGACATTTATCACTAGCACTGATGTGGTTTTATCCTTTATTCATATTGTTTATCTGTCTCTTTACGTACATGTTAAATGAATTAATGGTAGCGCTGTCTAACTGCTACTATGTACTATATCAGTGGTAAGTTCTTGGTGTCGGCTTTGGTTCAGGTTACTGTCTCAGGTAGCAGCCAGATCTTATCAGATTGTGTTTATTCTTCAGAGAGAACCTTATTGGTCGTTTCATTGAGCCACAGGTTAAAAGTAGGAACTTCCTTCTTCTTCCAGAATGTCAGAATTAGCTTTAATAAGAGAGAAGTTGTTAATACAGACGTGTCAGGTGGAGGTTGGATTCTCCAGATTCTGGTTTGTGTTCACTACATTTATTTATGTGATATTTGCTCTCAGATAAATGTTTTGAATGAATTTGATGGTGGCTGCACAGGATGCAGTTGGAGAATAATCTGAGACCATAGTTAAAATAAAGACCATAGAGGGGTTGGCAAGCTAATCGATAACTGGCAGGACGGACTGGGCCTCGGAGGCATTGCTGGTTGATGTGTAACACGTTATTATTGGTGTACACTCTGTATACAGAGAGATCCAGCTGGCAGTGATGGGCTGAATCAGAGCTGTGTGAACTGGCAAGAGCTTGAATTTAACGTTTAATGTAAAAGACTTTTAACGTAATATATCATTAACAAGTTTCATGTGTTCTTGCCTCAGGAGTTATAGAGAACATACAGTTAGCTGGGATATTTACATCTTTCACTGGTGGTTTTGTATTGACAGAGCGAGCTCCATAAGAACTGCACATCCCTCAGTGAGCTCGCCCCCATCGCCTCCAGCGGCAGCGGCAGCCATCAGCCTTCCCCGCCGTCTCTCCATGCAGACATGGACTGTAGCTGGAAGCCTTTCGGTCTGTATCCACTCTGGATATTTTATACTTTAGTCCAGGAAGAACATGAACATAAAGACAAATAAACTCATGTGAGGATGAACTAAACCTCTCTCTCTCTTTGTGTACGACTCTTCTTTATATTCTCAGATAAAAGGAACTACAAGCAGCTGTTAGGAGCCATGGACTACTCCTTCCTCTGTGCCTACGCTGTGGGAATGTACCTCAGGTAAGAGATGGCTTCCTGCAGCTGTGAGATGCTGCAGGTATTTAATACAATCAGATGGAAGAAGCAAACTGAACACCAGTAACGGCTTTAATAAAGAAAAAAAACTCACCAATTGTCAAGAAAGGAAAAGAAAAACATGTGTTTTCATCTTTAAACAAAAAAATACAACCAAATTCAAGTTTCTCTCTTTTACTGAACTGAAACCTTGTTAAACAATCTTTAAACACACTTCATTTAAACTCAGCAGAAACTTAATAAAACTCACCAAACCTGTTTGAGTCATTCCACTGTACAGCTCTTGAAGGCAAATTAGTTAAATAAATAGCTGATAGTGTTTTAACTCATCGGCTATATTGAGCTCAAACCTGAGCCTGATCCTTTCCTTTAATACGTCATCAAACTAGTGGAAATAACCCTTTAATTCACGCCTGAAAAATGATTAAAATTACCAAATATCCTGGAAATAACTTGGGTTATCCTGGAGAATTTATATTGTATTTCAGTTGTGCTGTGACCAAATTAATGTCACTGTCAAAGGTGAACTGTAGTTAGTTCAGAGAGCAGTAAAATGTGACGTGGCATTGATACGGCGCAGGATAAAGATGACAAACAACCTCTGCAATTATAATAAATTACTATAAATCTCCAGGTAGTTCTAGTCCCCAGTGAATACAGCGTAAGAGACAAACAAACAGAACTGAAACTTAATCTCCTCGGTGAAGCTTGTGAGCCTTAACGATGAGTGTCTGTGGTTAATGTGACGTTATCACTGTGCGCCCACGCAGCGGCATCATCGGGGAGCGCCTGCCCATCCGACTGTACCTCACGGTGGGCATGCTGACCAGCGGCCTGTTCACCTGCCTGTTCGGGCTGGGTTACGTCTACAACATCCACAGCTTGGGCTTCTACATATTTGTCCAGGTGAGACCCAAATAACCACAGAGGGATGTTAATGTACGCGTTTCCCTGCACATGTGTTTGTAATCCTGTCCTCGTTAATCCTCTCAGGTGGCCAACGGGTTGGTGCAAACCACTGGCTGGCCCAGTGTAGTGACCTGTATCAGCAACTGGTTTGGAAAAGGAAGGTAAAGATCCAACCTCACTTAAATAAAGCCCGAACTAACCCTTTAAAAGCTTTTCAGTGTCGGTGGGAAATATTTCTCAGTATTTAACCATCGTTATTTAGGAAATAAGTTGTTCTAATCAGGATTATTTTGATCAATACTGAGATCACGGGTATGGAACAGTTACTAGTATTGATACCTGGTTAAAACAAACTATTGCTCCTTCTTCTTCTTTTATCACTCCCTCACTAGCTTACTTCAAAATAAAAGTCAACTTGTGTTTCTTTTTTTAAACTGTTTATGTTAAGGCTTTTCACTTAAAAAAACACTGTAAAATCCTAATAAGAAAGTGAAGAAAATTAAAAAATAGACAGAAAAATAGAAATAATATTCATGATATTTTATGTCAAATGTCCATTATTGTCCCAAGGAAGGTAACGTCCTCTTCCACTGTAGGACAAACATTTCTCCTATTTTCTAAGTCAACTTGTGTTTCGCAGGTTAAGTGCTTTTAATGTGAAGTTGCAGCAAGAGGAAATGTTTGTAAAATATAATTTCCACCCTTTCCTCCTATTTAACAATTTAGGACAAAAGAATTACAAAACTCAGTTCCTTTTGTATTTTTATATCAAAATGAACCAACTGATTTCAACCAATAATATCAAACATCCACCCGTCAATCAATCTTCAACTTTTAAGCCCACACAGGAGCGAAGATTCATTAGTTAGCTCACTGATTACTGTACAATCACACAACTTTATCTGTGATTTAGTGAAACTGGATCATTTTTTATGGGAGAGAATATTGTCTGGTTTCCCTCTGACGTCCTCCGGCTGCTCTGCCTCAACTCCGCTAACTGCTAATGTAGCTGCTGTTTGCATGCAACCGTACGGGGCTCAGCAGCAATTTATGTGGACTTTAAATAATCAATCTGACAGTATTTCTTATCTTTGCTGAACAAGAGTATTGCACAAAAGGAATTAAAGGCCTGTCTCATATGGAGGCAGGTTAAATTCAGCGATTAAGGCAAATAAAAACCTGGGTTATTAATTCAAGTTTTACAGTATTTGCTTAATCGTACAGCCCTAATTTGTTCTCTCCAGTGAATGAATCTCATTTTGGTGAATCAGGAGAACGTTAACATTTAATTTAGTGGAGGTGTGACCATTTGAACTAATAAAACAGCTGAAAACTGAAAGAGGAATAAAAAACGTAGCTCACAGGAACACATGGAGGTCGAGAGGAGTCGCTAACGCCCTGATGTGTCTTCCCGTCAGACGCGGACTCATCATGGGGTTGTGGAACTCCCACACCTCAGTGGGAAACATCCTGGGCTCTCTGATCGCCGGATACTGGGTCTCCTCCAACTGGGGCCTGTCCTTCATCGTCCCGGGGCTCATCATCGCTTTCATGGGCGTCATCTGCTTCCTCTTCCTCATTGAGCGTGAGTGCTGCCTCCTCATCGGCCGGTTATGGTTGTGAGCTGTTCATATTAAACTTATCGCATCTGTTTCCCTTCCAGATCCAAACGACCTGAAAAGCATACACGCTCCAAACCGTTCTCCCGGCAAGAGCGTGAGTTCTTTTTATCTTTATTTTTTTGTATTAAATGTGAACACAAGCTCCCTTTTCACCTCTGTATTCCCACTGTAATGTCGTTAGTTATTTTAACACAAAGAAATAGATGAAAATTGAACATTTTAAGTTATAAAAACTCAATTTTGTAAGTTAAAAAAGATTCCTGATTCATTTTTACCGTGTATTTTGTTTTCACAGTACAAATAAAAATGAAGTCACTTAAAATTACTAAAACTACTTGATTTAAGAATGTTTTTTTTAACTTACAAAACTTAACTTTTTTTGGAGTTAAATGAACTTATTCTGCTGTGTGCTTGTGTTTTATGTTTGTGTTATTGTATGTATAACACATGTCAATCATCCAATCACACCCACTGCTGGATTGTTGTGGAATAAAATAGCATTATTATGAGTTAAACAGATTAAATTAAAAGGAAAAAAACTGAATAAATAGGTGGAGAACCATAACAAATGCAGATCCTGCTTGGTACAATTAAAACAATGCAGTGTAACATCCTGAGCACTAGTTGATTCTGGTGTTGTCGGTGTTATTACAGCAGGTTGCAGTACATAAACATTACAGGAACTATATAAACTCTGGTCTACAGAGATGTGGAATAAGTGATAGTCGGATGAGTCATCCTTCACAATATTCCCAACAAGAGGGGGAGTGTGTGGGCTCCACCACAGAGGGCCATTGTTATTACGGTACCATGTAGCTGTTGCCGTGAGTCACTTTGTCATATTGTTCGATTTTTAAAAGAAAAAAATGTGCATAAATAATTAAAAGTCACACTTTGAGGTCTAAAATGGCTTCTAGACTTTAGCTTCTACAGCCGATTCAGACAGAGAAAGTCAGGGAATCTGGTTCATTCATTATTATATACTTTATACATTTGTTTTTCAATCAAAATCCTTCAATCCAAGGTCCTTCCTAATACCTGGCAGAATCAGTTATCAGTTAACTAACATTCAAAGTCAGTAACACTGCGTACGGCCGTCAAACAGTAAATATAATTTGACAGGATGTTTAACAAGAAGACTAGCAGCTATCAGCCATGTCATTGTCCCCAAATCAATACCAGTATTTCAGTAATGGACACCCAGCAGCCAATCAGAATCCAGTATTCAGACCGTGTCAATAACAGAAGGTATCACAGAGTGTTTTACTCACAGGACATTTACACAACAAGGTTCATTCAGAAGGTTCCTCGTGGTTTGGTACCAACACTGAATGGATGCAACGTTTGTGTTAAACTACACTACAGCAGGATAACAAAAGAGATTATGCTGCAGCAGCCCAAAGCAACAAAAAGAAAGTTAACTTTCACCAAATGAACAAACAACTTAACTTTCTTTTCTTAATATTTGGCTCCTATTGATGCTGTTTCACTGCTGTACAGTTTAGTGAATAATTTAAGGTTTTATCGTTTTGATTTTCCATTTTATAGTTACAGACACAGATACAGATACAAAGATCTCCTGTTAGAGTTCACTTTGACTTCTTAGTTATTTACACTTTCATTCATGATTCAGTAGCTGTAAGATTAAATGCACACGTGTCTCCCATTAGTGAACAGTGTAAAGGCAGCGTGAGGGGACCCACATGGAGGGAGTGATGCGTGTTAACAGTAGCCATAGTGACAGTCTCCACCTGTGTGTGTGTGTGTGTGTGTGTGTGTGTGTGTCTCTTATCCTTTTAATACCTTGAACGAAGTGAAACAGGTGTGAATAATAATGTGATTTATTGTGTCTTTTAAGCAGGTTCCCAACAAGAGTCGGAACGGTGTGAACGGACACACTGAGGTTTATCTGCAGTACAAGGACAACAAAACTCAGGTCAGTGGATGTTACTGTACATTCAGAGCTACATGAGCTTAAAACACCTCAAAACTGGGCTTTAAATCTTAGTTCTTTCCCACTATGACATTGAATATTCATGAGATTACAGATGCAACAATAAACAGTGAGAACGTGACAGAAAGAGAGGGTTCCTGGAGATGTAGAGCCTAGTTTTCCAGACATGGAAACACCTGGAAATTGATGAAAGTGACCAAATATCCTGGAAATAATCTACGTTGTTCTGGATTTTTTTATATTTTAGCCCCTCTGTGACCTGGCTGGTCACTTTATTGAGCTGAATTTAAGATTTGTACCTTCATCTAAGATTACTAATTAGCATCAAATAAAATCTTAAACAATAAAAATATGTCACTGCAGTCAGCTTGGAAGAATCCCTCTGGGATCAAACTCACATCCTGGATGACCTGGAAATTTAAAGACTCTAGTTTGCATTCATGGAAACACCTAGACAAGGAATAAAATGACCAAATATCCTGGAAATAATCTACATGCATACAGTCTATTAATGATCATGATGTTGTCCTGTATTGTCAAGATAAACTCTGTCCTGGAAAGGTCCTGGAAAATGATTTCTGAACCCTGGAAAAAATCACAAATGAGTCAAACAGTTTGAATTTATATAAAATATAAAGTTCATCCACCTACATCTGAACATAACAAACCAACAGCCCCTGTGTGGACAGCTCTAGGTTGCACAGGTGTGAATAATGAAGTGAGTTGCACTCTAACGTGTGATTGTGATCCATTCAGGCGTGCTACTATTACGAGGATAGTGTTCAAAACAGGAAGGTCAGTTGCTCCAGTGCTCCAGTCGGATTTATTTGGGATAAAAATCATTCACAGGCTGAATCCAAATGTCCATTTGTGGCTCATCAGTAACACAAACTCTCTGTGAGCTGCACACGTAATGGATTGGATTCGGCGCTCTGTGCCGGGTGTTTGGGACATTTGGATTCAGCCTTTAAGGTTTCTTTCTGAATTTATGATCAGGGTTGGGTTTACCGAGTTAAATGGTTCTTTTCAGACTTCACAGTACCTGTCAGTCACGATCAGTGGTTTCCAACCTTTTTCCTGCAGGGACCCTTTTTCTATTACTCTAACTGAGTAAGGGATGTGTTTTAGGGATATTTTGAACACAATAACTGCAGGAACTGTGTAAATGAGTTTTCCTGATATTTTTAGGAACTTTTTACACAATACTCTGGCTGTATTCTGTATTTTTATCATTTCTAACAATCATACAGACTTAATATTCTTCTTTTCTGACAGATTCAGTGTTTTCTCCTCATTGTTCTACTAGCTCTTTGGTTGTTTTCTAAAGCAGGATGAGGCTGTTTATCAGAGAGTGAAGCTCTATGAATACATTTTGTGTTCAGCTCTTCAGGTTTAGATCTTAAATAATAATCTAAACATGTCCCCTGTAAAGCTCTGGCGACCCCCTCAGGTTGGGAATCACTGCTCTATACGACAAACCCTGCCAATCTACTCCTACTTTAATTAAATCCTTGCATCGAATTGAAGGGCTTGGTGTTGTCATCGGTGGGTACTGTGAATGATTCATTGTTAATGCAGCAGGTGGACGAGGGTGCATTAAGGCATGAAAACACCTGCAGGTGCTGATCTTTACCGTCCTCCTTCCCTCTCTCTCTCTCCTCCAGAGCTACGACACAGAGCTGCTGCTGCCGAGGGAAAGCGTGTGCGTCCCCGTGCAGCCGGTCGTGGTGGTGAAGAGGGAATCTGAGCCGTCCCCCATCAGCTTCATGGGAGCCCTGCGTATACCAGTCAGTCACACGTAAACACACACAGCTCTCCCTACTGACAATATGCCATTCATTTCTATATTTCTGTACCTTTTATCATCATGAATCATGTGTAAAATTAGGCTATAACTGATGTGTGTGTGTCAAATATCAGATGTGCTGACATAAAGCAAACACACGGTTGCAGCTATGAATGTTTCTTTGCAACTAGAGCAAAAATAAATAAAAATAACTTCCACAGAAGCCATATAAAAAGTGTAGTTTGCTCCACTACATACACCTGCTTTTCTACTTATAAACATGGATCTAATCCTGATTCTTGTGGGTTGTTACAGCCACAAAATAAACCAGTTGTGAGCAGCAACATATAAAGAAGACTCCTGATAGTTAGTTATAACAGAAACTATGGGAAGGATAGAGGCCGTAGGACCCAGAGCTTCCTCACCTAAACTATAAAATAAACTTATTAAGACATTAAATAATGATTATATGAGATAATATAAGAAATCAGGGGTTGCTGGGGAGGGAGCAGGTAAAGAGTGAGTTAAGTTATATATATGTTTGTCTGTGCAGGGAGTGATCGAGTTCTCTCTCTGTCTGCTGTTTGCCAAACTGGTGAGCTACACCTTCCTCTTCTGGCTGCCGCTCTACATCACCAAAGCAGGTGAGCGACCAGACAACAACGACAACCTTTTCCTGTTGTTCACTGTTACCTGTCTGTCCACAGAGCTCCGAGACTTAAACAGGACGGTGTGAACAGAACTATGTTACTGCGCGTTACTACAGTGTTTCATGATTTATTAAACAGGTTTTCTTAGAGAAAGTGGACCCAGGACAGACAATGCTGAAGCTTACTGAGTTAATTTTGTGTTCAGCTTTTCCCTTTCTACGCCATAAGAGAAAGAACAAGATAAATTACACAAATTAGCTCTTATGATTCAAACAAAACAAACAAACAAAATAACAAATGCACGTGAGCCCTTAATGTTAACATTTCTATACGCTGCCATATACCTAAATCCTTCTACACATAACACACTAACATAAAACATTTACTTTCACACACAGTAATAACTGCAGACGAAGGAAACAAGATGACAACACATCCTGTACTTTACCCGACAGGCGTCACAATAAAAGACGTGACAAGAAAAGGCACTACCAAAATAAAAGCTCCCAGGAACAATCCTTCACACTTGCATGTTTAAACTTGTGAATCTGTTTTTCCAACATGTTAAACTCTCAGATTAAACTTGTTGTGCACGTCTGAAAGGAGCTGAAGTGTGAAGAGTTGAATTCTGGGTATTGATACAGACGATACAGTTACTGTACAGCGTGTCGTCACTTTTATTACCTCCAGAAAGAAGATTGAAATAACCGATTATTTTGTGTTTGTGTGTTTCAGCTCACCTCGACGCCAAGAAAGCCGGAGATCTCTCCACCCTGTTTGACGTGGGAGGAATTGTTGGTAGGTTTTTCTTTTACTTCGCGTTGTGCGTTATGGTTAGTTTGAAAGCTGTTTCCCTGCCTCATGGCGTCTCTCTGTGAATGCACAGGAGGGATCTTGGCTGGTGTGATCTCTGATAAACTGGAGAAGAGAGCGACCACCTGTGCAGTCATGTTGCTGCTGGCTGCTCCCACAGTAAGTCTCCACCTCTACACCTCTGTACATGAATATAGATATATAAGGGGGCTGATCACACAGAGCCTGTTTACAGCTGCTACTAACCTGCTTCTTTTGTGATCTGATATCTTAAACCTGGTCTGGAAAACTCTTTTTGGGCTCTTTTACCTGCTCAGATCAGCAGCAGATGTTTGTGAACACTTACTTACTACAATATCACCAGACTCCCTTAACATATCGCACAATTCTGGGAGTTATTGAGTGATGAGAAACTTTATAAACTTTGTGAAACGTTCTCTATGACAGATTTTTAATTATTTGGACCTTCTTGTAAAGTCGGCTTCACATTAACTTATTTATTTCCTACCGTGTCAGCTGGACGGCGGTCCGACCTCCTCTACTAGGAGAGACGCTTCGTGATGCGAGCAGGACGCAGACTTTTACTTCCTCTGGCATTAAAGTCTTAATACCATCAGATTTTCACTCAGTCAGAGGAAGTAAAAGTGTGTGTCCTGCTCATGAAGTTCAGCTATAAAATCCCACAATGCACCACGGAGCGTCTCTCCTGCAGGGTCAGTGTGATCGGCCCCTAATGCTGAAGTCAGTGCATCATCCACAAAATCGAAACATCAAGATTGAGGAAGTTCAGACCCAGTGACCCCCTGTGGTCTGTATCATCGTCGACATCAGCCGAGCATTAGATAAATAGTTTCATTCAGATTTAATGCCATCATACAGTTTCTGATGTAACTGAAAGTTTGGACTCATCAGACCCAGTTATCCTCTTAAACATCACTTGTTCAGACAGTTGAAGTCTGATCCTGTTTTGACCGTCGTGCTTTGTCTTTGTCCTGCAGCTGTACGGATTCTCCATGATCAGCGAGTTCGGTTTGGGGCCGACCATCGGTAAGATCTCACTGCTGAATGATTGAGGAGACTGATTAATTAATTAATTACTCCAGCTTCTCAAAATGTGAAGATTAGTCTGGTTTTCTTCCTGTTATCTCCTCATTTAATTAATAGTTTTGAGTGTTTGGGTCCATTAAAGTAATTAAGTTTTCCTCTGAGGATTTAGTTTTTGGCCATTTGTTGATATTTTTACTTAATTCTCTAATTGATTGTTAAATAAAAGAGTTACTAACTTAATAACCAGATTATAAACATTTAAAGTTAATTTAGTAGCAGGCTGTATTGTTGGCTAACCTAATATAATTACATTATAATTTTATTAAAGGTTATATACATGAAGTTAAGTTGCCACTGGGTGTCGCACTAGAGCACCAGCATCTCTGGCCCACCGGACTCCATTAACAAAGCCAGCAATTTCACTTTGCAGACAAACTTCACTGGACAGAAAGAAAATAAAACTCAACCACAGCCACCAAATGTTGTTTTGGTTGAAATAAACTATTAATTCACAGAGTTAGATGTGAAAATATCAGATCAGATGATACATTTTGAACAGTTTTATTTTATATTTGTTTTGACTCAGTGTGTAAAACTGATTTAAAAATAAGCTTTTCTGTCCTTTTTCTGGACAATAAAACAATTTTCCAGGGCTGGTATGTTACAAAGGTGTTTGATTTACTGTGAACAGCATCATTTATTGTCTTATTCATTAAAATGTAAATGAGTAAGTGTTAAGATCCCAGATTATTTCAGAGCTGCACAGGTGTCCTCAGTCAGTTCGGAGCGACCAGCAGATGGCTTCATTGCAGCACACAGGACACAATCAATGCAACAGAGCAAACACAGTGTGGAAGACACTCAGTTATTATTATATCGTCACACTTTCTTTACAGACCGCTTCATTAATCCATCACAGTGTTTGTTTTGTCCAAACCTCAAAATGATTACAAATGCATTCAAATTATTTAAATCACATTTCAGAAGCTTAAATTTTCTGTCTGTCTACAGATTCACTTGTAGTGTTGTTTTTATGTTATTTAGGCAAAAATCTTGATAATAAACTAGTATAGTATCTAAGCTGTCAAATAATTAAATAGTAAAATAAATAGAGTAGAATTAAACCACTAGTTCCTTAAGGGACCCTTTTTATATCATTATTAAACTCAGTGAGATATTTTATGGATATTTCATATTATATTAAACTGTACAATGAACCCAAACAGTGAACTCATAGTTTTTAGTTTTTTATAGTTTTTAACAATCATACAGACTTAATAAGATTCAGTGTTTTCTCCTCCCTGGCGCTCAGCCATTGTTCTATTAGACAATTTACTTCACACAGGTGAACCAAATGCTGAAATATCGACCTACCGTGTATATTTTTAAAGATTTCTACCATGTCTTAAAATCAAGAATCCCTTGCGACCCCCCGTGAAGCTTTGGCGACCCTCACAGTGAGTCGCTGCAGTCAGCTCAGAACAATCATACTGTGATTAAATTCGCTCCGTGTGCCTTCAGGTTGTCAGTATGACTTTTTGTTAGACGTCATCTTTAACTGATTTTTATTGTTAGGACCATTTCCAAGCATGCAGCCTGAAAAACCTGGAAATTTAGAGACTGATTAAAAGGACCGAATATCCTGGAACTAATCTACGTTGTCCTGGAAATGTCGTTGTTGTATTTTAGCACCTCACTCAGTGGCTGTAATATCACTCTCCACCAGACTCCATAGAGAAAAACACTAATTTTCCCTCGTAGCATCGTAGCTTCATTCAAAGTGGACAGAAACAGAATAAAACTCAACAAAACCTGGTTTAATTCATATTAAATCCTTATTTCTGAAGAGGAGTGAGAACCCTGCTTCCTGAGACGTGTTATGTGGGTTGAAGTGTATTAATGGATCTTGTCTTTTTGGAGTTTTGGAGTCATAAATGATCACATAAATACCAACACTTGAGCAAAATATCCCTCAGCGTGCGTCCAGCTGCTGATCCTGTACGAGCTCCAGATACATGAGGTCACATGGCCCCGGCAGGATTGTACCGAGAGGAGCTCATCAGCCCTGATGGTTGATTAGCCGCAGAGTCACCGTGGCTGACGGCTGATGGCCCTTTTCATGCATTCAGCTCGTGATGGTCACAGCTGCGGCTCATTATCCTCGCAATATGCTGCGGGGAATCTGCGAATGTCATTATGTGACGCAGTGTGATACAGCAGCAGCAGCAGACGAGGAGCAGCTGCTGAGCAACAACAGCAGCTCTGATGACGCGTAATTATCACAACACACATTGTCATTAACGCGCTGGAGTCGCATAAACTTTATCAGAGCTGCAGCGAGGGGGAGGGAAGGGGAGTCAGACGGGGGAGAGCGTGGATGTAAGAGTCCTGCGTCTGTGTTTAACAGGTATGCTGTTAGTGTGCGGAGGCCTCGTCAACGGGCCGTACTCCCTCATCACCACCGCAGTGTCAGCGGATCTGGTAAGAATTCACTCTGATAAACTCAATCATTAACTGCCGTCACACAGTCCCTCTTCTCTCTCTCATCACTTTCTCCTCTGACCTTTGACCCCAGGGCACCCACAAGAGCCTGAAAGGCAACGCCAGAGCGCTGTCCACTGTCACTGCCATCATCGACGGCACGGGATCTGTAGGTCAGTATCTGTGCTGACATTAACTACTAATAAAGAACACAGGAAGCAGGATTTTCAACGCCATATGACCTTTTAATGGTGTCCCAACAAATCCCATTAAAAACCTTTATGTATTTTCATGGTGTCAGGAGCAGCAGTGGGCCCCCTGCTGGCTGGACTGTTGTCTGCAGGCGGCTGGGATCAGGTCTTTTACATGCTGATGACTGCCGACTTCTTAGCTCTGCTGGTGAGAAACAACATAAAGATCGTAGTGTGTTGTAAATGAGTTTCATCGAACTATAAACACTGCTTTTAAACTGACATCAGATCAGATTTGCAGCCGTTTTTAGCTGGTTGTTTTGGTTTACAGTCACTGCTGTCTGTAAATCTGGCAAACATTGTGGTGGAGACCAAAACAGAGCTAAAAGAGAGCTAAAAGATTGTGAATATTGACTCCAAATGAATGTCGATGTACCTTAACTAGTGATAATATATCAGATGTTGTGTTTTCAGCTTGTTCTGCTGCCTCCAAGTGGCCAAAAAATCTATTAAAATCTTGTTTTTAATATACAATAATACACATGATCAATGTAAAACACATGAATGAACTAATATTTAACTTTGTGTGTGTGTGTGTGCAGCTTTTGCTACGACTCGTGACAAAGGAGCTGACCTCAAGTAAATCCCGTCCCATCTCTGCTGTAGAGTAAGTCTCTTCGTTTTCCTCAATGTTCTGTGTTTTATTTATTTTATCCTGTAAATACGTTAATAATTCTTCATTATTATTGTTGCTGTTAGTGTCTCATAACTGTAAAACATATTTAAGCCTCATAAATCAATATCAGTTCAAGTGTACGCTATGTTTACAGACAGAGTTTATATCGATCGATGCTCTCTTCAAAGCCACCAGACTCCAATTACAAAAACAGTCATTTTACCTCGCAGCACACGGGGGTTGCTGGTCCACTGCTGTCTCGATATCAGTTAGTTAGTTTGTGTTATTGAGGGACTTTTGAGGGTTTTAACACGTTAGGTCGGATCCGAACTGACGTTAGTCGCTGCAGATCGAGGCAGCAGTGGACCAGCAACTCCTGTGTGCTGCAAGGTAAAATTACTGTTTTTGTAAATGGAGTCTGGTGGCTTTGAAGAGAGAATAGATACCAGCTTCAGTTTCCCGTCGGAAAGGGTTGTCTGACAGCGAGGTAAAACAGCAAAAATATTCTAAATATATACTTAAATATTATAAATGTGCACTTAAATATTAAAAACTTACATTTAATTAATATAAATATGCACATATATACATACATATATCTTAGGATTTTGTTCATTTCTGTGAAGAAAACTACATTAAATTGTATTTTTCTTTAAGTTTAGATAGTTTAGATTTAGTATTTAAGGTGTAACAGTTTATCAGTTGTTCTCTACTGTTATTATTATTATTGAATATAATATAAAATATACATAAACTGTCACTTGGTCACTGAACTAATGAAACACAGTTGCAGGTTAATGAGTTGAGTCTGGCACTGACTCGGTTCTGAGGAAAACATCAGTGACCTGCAATTTTAAAACATTTAGTCTCCTGATGGGATCTTGTTTTAGCTCACAGCATCACAACCACACAGAGGAAATTCTGCTTACGGCTCTTTTTTTATGAACCAAATGTCGCAGCATCTCAGACCAAAACAGCGGAAGCTACGGTCCACCAGACTCCATGGACAAAACCAGTCGTTTTACAGAGCAGATAAAAGACGCTTCAAAGTGAACAGAAACAGAATAAAACTGATTCAACCGTCTTTGTTAGTGTTTCCAACAATCACCGACTCTGGTTTGGTGGAAATAAATCCTTAATTCACCAACGTAGATGTTAAAAACAGCAGTTTCAGTCGCTCTAAGACACAACATGTGTAATTTAATACTTTATGTACTTGCCTTTTATGGACAGTAAGTTCAGTTTATTGCTCCTGGCTGTAAAACTTAACGACACCCAACGTATCAATATGGCGTTTGTTTGTCTCCACCTCACAGGTTGAAGGAGCACTGAGCACTTTGACTGTATGGAAACCACTCGTCCATAATAAGCCTGACCCGGACTGTGGCTGCGACTGTAACTGGACTTAATTAACCTCATATTACACACACACATTGTAACATACAACATGTGTGTGTGTGGAGCTACTGCAGCAGATTTCAGTCTGGAGGATTCATCTTTAAACACTCAACTTCCTGGCTTCGTCCTCAAGTTGAGCTCGATTACTACAATCCACTGAAAGGACTGTGGGATGTGTATATATATAAAGCCTTACTTTCACGTGTATATTTGAGCTTAAAGATAAACTAGTGACATTATTTATGTTGGATAGAAATGTTTGAAACAGCAACTTCCATGACGAAGACAAACAGTTTATTTCTAAACTGTTTTACCCAACAATACCATTTTTAATTTATTATATCTAAACTCAGTGGTCCATTGACCCTTCCTAAGCCCCGCCCCCTTTTTGCTCTGTGCTCCAATCACAGTTGAGTAATCCTCGGTCATCCTTTCCTGTACTTACATATGCTACGTGCTAGGCTAATCTATGTTGGAAAGACAACCACATTTTGAAGATGGTTAAAATATAAAAGAGACAAATATTTATAATCACATCGTAAGTTGGCTAATGTTAGCAAAATGTTAGCTAACGATTGGTGGACATTAACTAGCTAGTTAGCTAAAGTTTTCCGAAACACAGAGATCAGCAAACTTTTGGGCAAAAAAAACCCCAAAATGTCTGAAACCATAAAACATAGCTAACGTTTTGCTACAGAGCAAAACTCTAGCTAACTAGCTAGCTAATAAACATCAATCATTAGCTAACGAGTCAACATCAATAGTTAGCTAGTTACATCTGAAGGTTAATGTTAACAAAGCTCTAGCTAACCAGTTATTTAACCAATTAGTAACCAATTGTTAACTAACTTTACCATTCAGCTAGTTAGCTAGCGTTTTGCTAACATTAGCTAACTTAAGATTGACAATAAATATTTGTCTCTTTTATCTTTTAATCATCTTCAAAATGTCTTTTCAACATAGATTAGCCTATCATGTAGCATATGTAAGTACAGGAAAGGATGACCGAGGGTTGCTCAACTGTTATCGTAGCATAGAGCCAAAAAGGGGCGGAGCTTACGAAGGGTTCGGCAGGCGCACACGTTGTTGTAAAGTCGACTCTTGAATCAATATTTATCTTCGATTATTGTCAGAATAGTTACAAAGAACTCTTCTCCTGTGGATTCTTTCACACATAAACAAACAAACATGAATATAAACAAACAAACCGGATTAAAAAATATCGGCGACATCTGTCCAGTTATTTTGGGATCGATCACAGTTGTCATAGTGACCGTCTCTGTAAACACGTTTTTATTGACATTTTTGAAATGTCACATTGATCAAATTTCTGTTGAATTGAGGTGAAAACAGAAATAAAACTATTAAATAGTAATATAACTACTAAATCTACACGGATCAGATCGATCCCGCTAACAAAGGCTCCCTGTGGATTAATGGATGAACTTTGAATTCTGGGTAACGCTGTTTGTACGATAGGAGCTCACAATAAGACCACTACGATCAATAACAGACATTTTGAAGATGATTAAAAGATAAAAGAGACAAATATTTATTGTCACATCTTAAGTTAGCTAACGTTAGCAAAATGTTGGCTAACGATTGGTGGAAATTATTTTGCTAGTTAGCTTAGTTTAAAAAAAAAGCTAAGTTTTACGAACACAGCGAACAATAAACTTTACTATAAACATTTTTGGGGAAAAAAATATCTGTAAATCTGTCTGGAGCCATAAAACACAACTAACTAACTAACTAACTAGTTAATCTACATCAGTCGTTAGTTACATCTGAAAGTTAATGTTAGCAAAACGCTAGTTACTAGCTTGCTAATTTACACCAATCGTTAGCTAGTTACATCTGAAAGTTCATAATTAATAAATAAATAAAACAATAATAACTAACTAATCTACATAAATTGTTGCTAGTTACATTTTAAAGTTAACACTTATAACTAATAGCTAATGTACTGCAGTTAGTTAGTTAGCTAACACTTTGCTATAAAGCAACACACTAGCTAACTAGCTAGCTAATCTACATTAATCGTTTACGAAATGAAATCAGTTGTTATTTAGTGTGTATAATTCCATAGGGGAGTTAGCTAGTGATTTGCTAACATTAGCTCACTGAATATGTGATATAAATAAAATATATTTGTCTCTTTTATCTTTTAACCATCTTTTAAAATGACGTTTCTTGGGGCCGAGCTAACAGTTAGCTCACAGACCACTACGACTCTCCTGTGTGGAAGTTGCTGTTTCAGTGTCACCTTCGCCTTACTGAACCAAAGAGATCGTGTTGTAATTTAAAATCACTTAAGTTATTCCTCTTATTGTGGTGGTTTCTGATTGTTTTTGCTATGAAATGAAGGCACCAAAGTTGTATTTTTATATAAAACCTCCAGATAATGTTTGTTTTTCTGTCTGTGTGTGTTTGTTTGGGAGCTCGGAGATATTATGAATGTAAAGTTCTTGTTAGATGACAAACCTCATATGGAAATATTTTGCAGTGCAATGTTGATGAGTTTAGTTCGTGGTTCATATAGTAGGTGGTGATAGCGACTGAATCTTTTCTCAGTCTGTAAAATAAGTGAATTTAACTCCATAAATGGTTTAAATCAGTAAAAATAAGGCTCAAAGTTTTAGTGATTTTCTCTTTTCCAGATTCGTTTCATATTTATAATTCTGTTAATTTATTGGCTGTAAACTTGTAGAGTAAAATCCACACAATACAAACGGTAATGTTATATAAATGTAAACTCTGGGATCATTTCCTTATATGGTGGTAGCATCGAGACAACATCCTGACTTCCTTCAGAATAAGAGCACATTGTGTATATTTATTTTGTGTCAGTACTTGAAAACATTGTGTGCCTTTGTTTGTCTTCTTGCTGGGCGGTTGATTTTTGTAAAAATAAAAACATATCAGATGTTTTCTTTGCTTCTTTTTTTTTGCAAATTAACTCCCAAAGCATTCTGGGTGATTTTCTGGGTGGTGTTTTTGATGGCGTGCTACTACAGGGCGGCTAAATCGGTCCGATTCATGGCATGGAGTGGCCTTAAGTCTCAGCTGGAGGTGGCAGGTGTCATCCCAAACGGTGAACTACTGACAGGCAGAAACCCACTCAGTGACACGGGCAGACTGGAGATAAAGCACACGTGCACAGACACAAGGGTTGGGAAGGTTGGACTTTATATACATATATATGTGTGTGTGTATATAGGATGTAAGTAGACGAATACTTCCAGCAGGAAGAGAAAGTATTGTACGAAGAAGGTTACGTCCCTGTGATAACTGCACTACTTGAACAAATGTAGTACTACTGTTTTTATTCTCACTGGAAGACTTTTTAATGAATTATCCCAAAAAATGGCAACTATTTTCATAATTTTTACTCCCTTCCCGCAGTTTAAGTGCAACAAAAAGAGCCTAAAAAAATCCCCAAAACAACCCTACAGCGACTTACATATACAACAAGAGTCGATGTGTTGGAAGCAGGATTAAAGGAGCCACTTTGATAAAGGGCCGAGGCAGTGTAAGGCTTTGGGGCGATGTTCTGTTGGGAAACATTGAGTCCGGCCATTCATGTGGATGTTACTTTGACACATACCTAAGCGTTGTTGCAGACCGTGTGCACTCCTTAATGGAAACAGTATTTCCTGATAGCAGTGGTCTCTCACTACAAAGTAAAAGATGGAAAGTTTAAAGTTTTGACTCGGCCTCCAAAGTCCCAGATCTTAATCCGATCGAGCATCTGTGGGATCGTTCATTAAAGTCTCCAAAACTCTCAGAATACAAACTCATTTCCAGTCCACAGAGTATTTTCAAGTGTTCGCATCTACTCATCTATCAGATCAAGCTGTCAACTGTTTGCTCAAAAATTTTAATCTTTAAAAAATACAGCGATATACAGACAAACTGCTCAAATCTTTAAAAAAATACAGTGCTATACCATAAAATCACAAAACTCTTAAAATATACAGGTAATATACAGGACAGAGTATTCTACAGTGTTTGCATCCAGTCATCTATCAGATCAAACTCTCCTCTGTTTGCTTTAAGAAGTTTAATAAAGTTAGAAGAATCCTCGTTCGTTGGTTGAATATAAAGAGACTTTAACAACCTCTGCTCCTCTATCAGGCCTCAGTAATTGACCAACTTCCCCTCAGCTGCAGGGTTTAATGCGGGTTTATTGCAGTGACTCATCGAGAATGGATGGATCCTCCGGTAACGCCTTCAAACTGCCTGATAAATGACATTAGAGGCTTTCCCCACAGTTCCACTCCTCCACACTGAAGCTTCTTCTTCTTTCTGATCCGCAGTCAGTGAGGAAGACGTTTGTATTGTCTGTACTTCATCACATATTGCTTTATAACATAATAACGTAATCATTTCCCTAAATTATCACTTATGTGGAGGTTATTAGAAAATACATCACTTTTTTATGATGGAAATGTAATAATATAATACATAATGTAATAACTTTATCTGTACATGTGCTATATTTTTAATAACTATCCTAAATTAAACAGTTAGAAATGTTTGTGGGATTCACCCTTTCGAGTCTAGAAAATGTTAAAAGTGTTTTTTAAATCATAAAGTCTGCAGTTATAAGTTGTTAATAAGTGGATTTTGCAGCCAAGAGGTTCTTTTAATGGTTTATAAATGATCTATTAAAGAGTTGGTGTGTGATTTATTAACTGTATTAAAGCCATTCGTCATAGACAAGAAGCCTCATTAAAAATATTCAGGTTGAGTTCTCTGCTGGAGCGAGTGCAGATCACCTCCCAAAAACAAAGAAAAACATCTCTAAAATATAATAAAAAATACAGTAAAACTGCTAAAATATAGTAAAAAATACAGTAAAACTGCTAAAATACAGTAAAAAATACAGTAAAACTGCTAAAATATAAGAAAAAAATACAGTAAAACTGTATTTTATATAGTAAAAGATACAGTAAAACTGTATTTTATATAGTAAAAGATACAGTAAAACTGCTAAAATATA